ACCTGTTTAATGATGGACCTCATCATTGTCTTTCACACTTTTTTTTTTTTTTCATCTATTGGTTGGAATTCAATAGTGCAGGAGTGAATTCTGGGGACCTGTCAAGGGCCACTTCCATCTCTTTCTCTCTCTGTCTTTCTCTCTCTGGTCTGGTCTCTGTCTCTGTCTTTTTTCTTTTCTTCCCTTCCCTCCCTCTCTCCATCCTCTTTCCAGAACCCAGCTGGATCTGTAGTTTACCAGGAGCCCCAAAGCTCAGCTATGGACCCAGACAGGGACTTATAATGTGGCAGGCGGGCAGCGGTTGTGTCAGCTGTGGGCGCAGCCAGCAGGTTCCAGAACCCTAATACAAAATCTACTAGCAGTGTCACAACTGACACTGACGCCTGCCAGGCATGGCAGAAGCTTCTGTCTGGGTCCACAGCTGACCCTGCCAACAGTTCCAGCTCAGGGCTATGGATGGGAGCTTCCACTGCCCTGGAAGGGCAGCATTGTCCGCCGTGGACACTGCCAGCAGGTTCTGCGTCAAGGCTTCTGAACCTGCTGGCAGCATCCACTGCTTGCTACTGCTTGCTGGTGGCGTCCACAACTGATGCTACTGTGGTGGAAGCCCCACCTGGGTCCACAATTGATGCCGCTATTCAACATACATAAATGCAGGGTGCTGCACCTTGGGAGAAGGAATCCACAGCATGCCAGATCTGGCTTGCGGGCCATATTTTTCCCAGCCCTGCAATAGTGTGACCTATGTAAAGCCCATGACACTTAGGAATCTTCAGCTTGTACAGAATGCTGAAAAGCAACAGAAATGTATCAGACCTCTCTTCTGCTCCCATATAATTTTGAATCAACTTCAAGCCTTCATAATATAGGAGCTCAATGTATTCAGCTCAGATCTAAAGACTTCCTGTCCCTCTAGGATGAAGATTATGGTCAACTGCTTCAATAACACTTTCTACTTTAAAGGTAAAATTCACCTGTAAAAGTGAGTAGCTGGAGCTTGGATATAACTGAAGAAATAAAATCAAAATAAAGGATCAGCCGTGTCTGCTTCACTTTGATTGTAGCTCTTAAGAGCTACTTGATAGACATGTTTATGGAATTAATTTGAATAATCATTTCAGACTGATTTTTTGGCTTTTACGTATCTCTTCGGTGAGCGCTATAAATGCAATGTTTTTGTTTGTTTTTCTTTAAAGGATGCTGATCTGCTGGACATAGAAAGCAAACACTTTGAAGACCTGGAGTTTCAGCAGCTTGAGCATGAGAGTAGGTTAGATGAGGAGAAGGAGAATCTGACACAGCAGCTGCTGCGTGAAGTAGCTGAGTATCAGCGCAGCATTGTCAGTAGAAAGGTAATAGAATGAAAATTCAGTTCAGCTGTATGTTTCTTTGATTTGTATAAGGGTAACATTCTCTGGTTGTCTAAGTGGCCATTTTTCGGCTGTCTACAGGAAATTCTATCCCTGCTGCATATTGATGACTGACACTGGCAACAAGAGGAAGAGTGTGAAAAATATGCTTCTTGCTCTTCCCTCCAAATAACTCAGTGACTAGGGTACTCACTTAGGAGGCCAGAAGACCTAGCTTCTAGGCCCCGGCTTCACCTAGAAGAAGTCTGAACTTGGGCTTTTCTGTCTTTCTCACTCTGCCACACTACAGGTCAAGTATTAACAAGTCCCTTTTCCAGCACTCCTTTTGAAGTTGACCCCATGTGCAGCCATGAGAGAGCGCTGTATTGGGCCAGAAAAAAGAGCAAATGAGGGGCATCTGACTCAGTGACCTGAAAGGAAGTGGGACCTTTGGTTCTAAGCCTGGGCCCCTGTTCCCACAGAGCAGAAACTTTCCCCCTGCACTGCCTCCACCCATTTCTTTCAAGGATTTATTTGAGTAAAGGGGCACTTGCATTCAAGGTCTTGGGTTCCTTTCCCTTTTTGCTATGGAATGACTTGGTGAGCTGATATTTGCTGGCTCATTTTCACTATCTTCTTGTAAAGACAATTCAAAGGTCAGTAAAGGAAAGATGTTTCATTACTACTGCAGACAAGGTTCCTTGGGTGAATTTGATATCTTTTATTAAACCAACCCAAATAGTTGGAGAATAGTTATTACTACTGCTACATTCTTGCTACTGTTTCATACTTGGACTCGATTTCATAACTTTTCTTCTTAAACAAAATTAGACAATAGATTTAAGCATTGTTGCAGACTACAACTTAATTTATTTAATTCTTCTACTATAATTAAGAATGTCCATATCTTTGCAGTTTTTCTTGTTTGGTTTTCCTGTCTTCAGCATATGAGAAGATGACCTTAGTATCTACATCCTAGACTGTCATCCCCATTTAGCTTGAACGAGCAGTTAATAATAAATGGGCTTTTCTTTGTTTTTGTGCACTGCTCTCTTAAATTTTGAGACTTACACAGTATGTTTCAGTTTTACAATATGTAGCATCTGCTGGTAATTAAATGTCTGGCAAGTATTATTATCCCAACTTGGCAGAACAGAAATCAAGGTAGAGGTATTATGTGTCTAGGGCACGGGTGGGCAAAATGCAGCCTGGGGGCTGGATGCAGCCCACCAGGCCATTCTATCCGGCCCATGGGGCCCCTAAAAAATTTAGAAAATTAATATTAATCTGCCCTGGGCTGCTTGTCATGCGGCCCTCGTTGGCTTGCCGAAACTCAGTAAGCGGCCCTCTGCCCAAAACAATTGCCTGCCCCTGGTCTAGGGCCTTAGAGAAAGTAAAGGTCAGAGCAGGAACTAGAGTTCACAAGTTCCTATGCAAAAGTCATAATTTATTTTATTGTATATTATAATGTGGGAAATCCCCTGTTGTCTTGGTCTCCTTGCCATTGGATCAAGGTCCCATTCTGTCAAGAGCTGTGTGGAAGCTGATGTGCAGCAGCTTTTTCATGGTAAAAGAAGTTACGCACAGGTGCCTTGCATGAAAACAGCTTTTCCAAAACATTGAAACGCTTGGCCGACCCCCCCCTAAGGGCGACAGGGGCAGGATTGTGAGGTCTGGAAGCTCCTAGTCATGAACTAGCATGAAGGAGGCAGTTACAAGAAGATCATCTAGCACTTGGATGAGACAGGAGTGTGATTCGGCAGCTGTAACTGTGACTGAGCAGGCCTTGTCAGGATCTGCTCTGGTCACCCCACATGGGGAGGGGGCTAGAAAAGGTGCCCTAAACATAGCCTGTCTAATACAGTATTCTGTATTTCTTCCTGGCTGGATAACTGCATTCAGTGAGATCACCTTTACAGTAGTCAAAATACCAGCAAAGGCATACCATCATTTTCAGGACCTGGAACCTCCAGAGCCACCCACCGCGAATGGAAACACGTATGTGAGCTACAGCAGAGTCTGTTGATCTGAGATAGGCCGCATCAGCCATCTTTGGATGCATAGATAAGACAGTCGTGGACAACAGTCATCCTTGATGGCAAGGGTCTGCCAAAGAAGAAGAAAATGTAGGAAAGAGGAAAACAATTATTTTTATTTTTAGATAGGGGACTCCCCAAGGATATTTACTTTATAAATGTTTTAAGTTGCTTTATTGTAGTCTTAATTTTAAGAAATAATTATTAACTAACCCTGATCTGTTTGGTGGAGTTCACGGATGAAATATATCTGTGCTGTGTGTTCCATCTGTGAACAGGATCTAGGCTGGATATGTATTGTGCTATCAAATAGGAATATTCTAAAATTTTCTTATTTTCATATTAGGAGAAGATTTCTGCTCTCAAGAAGCAAGCTAATCATATTGTCCAGCAAGCTCAGAGAGAACAGGATCATTTTGTAAAAGAAAAGAATAATTTAATAATGATGCTGCAAAGGGTAGGCAATTCTTATCTTGTAAGATATGTTTAGTTTAAAGATCAACAACAATGCTACAATAAAAGTAATTGCAATATTGTGGGCAGTATTTCCCAAATCAAGCTGTTTTTCTGTCTAGCTCCTGTCTAATAAAAATCTGGGTTGAAAAGCTGTACTTTCTGTTGGTCCTAAATTTGGTTGTATGTCAACCAGGGATTCAAATTCTGTTTGCTCTGTTTACTTGAAGGCTGAGAATGGAAAGCAAAAGTTATTTGGTTGACCACAGCTACTGTCCAGTGTTTTCAAAAGTGACTGGTGTTTCCAGCTGCCTCTGATTTCCCAGCAGGAAGCACCTGAAGTAAAACCTAATTTTCAGAAAGTACTGAGCTCTCACTTATGAAATTAGGCCTCTTTATGTTGTCAAAATGGAACTTCCCAAAAATGAGATGCCTGAAATCATTAATCACTTCTGGCAATCCCAGCTGTGTCAAGAACTGCTGCAGAGTCTGAGTGCTGCTGTGAATAAATGACACTGAAATTGCTATTATGTATTAAGCCTCACCAGAAGGTTTGTTTCTACCTTTTAAATAAATAGAAATTAATTTTAGTTGAATAAATATTCACATTAAAAAATAAATCTATTTCAATTACTGACAGGAAAAAGAGAATCTTTGTAATCTGGAAAAGAAGTATTCTGGACTTTCTGGAGGAAGAGGATTTCCTGTCAGTCCAAGTAGTCTGAAAGAGGTAAACAGTGTTAACTGCTATTTTCCTGATCATCTGATTAAACTTATTTTTTATTTACATTTGATGCAACAGTTATTTAGAGTTTGGCAAATCTTGTATGATTTGGTAAGTGGTGTTCCTGCAATTTCAATATACTATTTTTGCCGTGATTAGGTAACTTAGTTCTGTTACATATGAACATGCAAATTAGGGCAAAAATAGCTTCTCTGACATTTTCCCAGCTGTAGTGGGCATTGCCTTAGACTTCTGCCCTGAATAAATTACCACTTTACATTCATTAGAGAGTCTGTTTTTTCTCTAAATAGAGCATTAAATATAACGGAGAGGAAAAACAAAATCCAGAAATAGCTACAGACAAATATGAATGAATTCCAGTCTTCCTGCTTTTTAGATGTTTACATTTTTGGTCATATTTTTATTAGGGATAGAAAGAAATGTATTATAAACATGTATTTAGCATTTTAAATATGGGGCTAAATACTTTGAGCTGTTTTAGATCTACCTATTGAAAAACTGTTTAGGATCTTATAATTTTTGCTTGAGGTATTAATTTGGTGATACTGTGAAATGAGACCTACAACTAACTTACCCAATTAAAGGTTAATAGCTTTTAGCTTACAACTGCATGCTGTCACAACCTGAGGGCCTGTAAGCCTTGAAAAAATTCTGAATAAATGTGAACCACAGTCCTTAGTAATTGTAGGTGTACTGATTCAGCTAAACTATAGTTGATCAAATTCTGTCAACATCATCTTATTTCATCCTAATGAAGTGTATGCGTCTCTGAATTGTGGCTAAATATTAAATTTTAATCAAAGAAACAGAAAATGGTAGTCTTCTTCAGATATATTTGTCTACATTTTTATCTTCTGTCAAAGGGTCTAGTTTGATTTTATTTTTTTACTAGAAAAGCATGCTCTCTTAGACTTAATTTCTGCACCAGAATTATGAACTACTCATTTAAATATTTTAAATGGCTGAGATTGTTTTATGAGACAGATTTTCCTCTTATTTCACTTGGTCTCTTAGCAGAGTAATTCTGTTCATTTCAATGAAATTACTTATAATTTATAATAGGTTAAATAAGAAGAGAAACAACTTAAATGTTTTATATAATTTAAGTCTTTATACCGTCCAACTTGTATAAGATGAAAGTTGTTCTTCCTGCTAGTTGTCTTAGTTTCAGTGATTGCACCTACTGGCCACATCTACACGAGATGCAGACTGTGCAGTAGCCTGATACTATTGTGCAGTAGCATCACGTAGCAAAACCCGTGCCACAACTCTACTGTGCATTAGTGTCACAAAACTGGTCTTCATTGGTGCCACTACACAATAACTCCAGTTATTGTGCAGTCATGTAGTACTTGTTTATCAACATAAGACACTGACTGCACAGTTGTTACTGCACAGTCATTTAGCACCTATATAAACAAATGCTTTCTGCCATCTATATAAACAAGTACTAAATGACTGCACAGTCAGCGTCTCATGTAGACATGGCAACTGAATATTAATTTGTCCCAAGTATTTTATTCAGATGAGTGATAGGCACCTGGATAGCTTTAAAAATCTGTCATTTAGTGGCAAATAGACCTTAGGCTGACTCTGCCTAGGGGTGAATTGATCCATTTTGATCCCAAGGAGCATTTGGAGACACAGACTGTTCTCTTTTATTTCCTTCCCCCAACAGAAATCTTGATTCTGAAACCATGACTGTGTGTGGTGTGTGTGAGAGAGAGAATTTGCATGCACATGCACGCGTAAGAAAGGAACCAGAAGACCTGTTGAGTAAAAGGACAGCTTGTTCAGCCCACAGCAAAAGAGAGAGAGAGAGAGAGAAGATAGGAATATTGATATTTCTACAAGGCTGAGATTTTTAAAGCATCCTTTAATCCACTTGTGCTACAGGACTTAAGCTAGTGCCCAGTGAGATCTCTGACTTAAGTCATTGACTTCAAGGAAATTGGGAACAAGCTTTACAGTCTTTAAGCTACAGAAGTGTAACTGAAGTGGGGCCACCAGAGCAGCAGTCCTGTGCACCACCTTTGTAGCAGGGCAGAAAAGCAGCTTCTGCCACAGTGGCAGCTAGTAGCAGTGCTGCAATCAGCATGGCAGGCACTGGCACTGTCCCACATGCTACATGGCTGCCCTGAATGTGGAGGTGCACTGCTATGCCTTTGCTAAAGTATATATATAGTTTCTGCAGCATTCAGGATTTCCCTTCCATGGCCAATGGAAATGAATGCAGTATTGTCTCTGCACAATGGTTTGAGTCCTTGTACTTTTGTGCTTTTTGTGGATTTTTCCCCAGTTTAAAATGCGTAATAGTAACACTTAACCATGTAGCAAAGTTAATTATACATATATACTACTGCTATGGCCCTGATTTGACCTTGCTTCCAATTTATCCTCTCTTTTTGAGAAAACAGTTTATTAGATTGTCCACTTCTGTTAGTAAATAATTCATAGTATAAAGCTTGTGCTCTACCGTGTTTGAAGGCTAACTTGCATTCCCTTCTAGCTTGTATCAGAGACTTCTACAAGGGCTTTTGCTTGGTTTTCCCAAATTGTTTTCCAGGTGAAGAAAACCTGGATAAAATACTCTTAACTGCTAGTGAATCATTGCAGCGGGTTCTCCCTGCAGCCCCAAAATTATTTGTGTAGTCTTAAATTTCTGTATTTTTAATCTGAGGAGACAGTAGCAATAGGTTGTCGCTGCTCTGATCATCTTAATTCCTAAATGACATCTCTCTTGCTATAATTTATTAGTTCAGTTTTATAACCATACCCATTTCACCTGTTCAGCTTACAAGCAGAGCATTGTCTTGATAACTTTACAATACATTTCAGCCTACCTTTATATACACTGTCTCTCAGCAGTGACCTTTTCGCTTTTTAAAATGCTTTTTTTCCCTCCTACAGATCAAAAAGTGGACATTTGACTTGGGTGTAATCTGATGTCCTCTAGACCACTGTATTGAATCTCTGGTTTTTATTCTAGAGGTTTATTTGGTAGCACTGAAGACCGAATTTCACTTCACAGCAGAACATGTATAACAGTTGTCCTGTTTCATCTCTTTTAGATGAGCCTGTTCTGGGCCAGATGTATTCTCTAGTCTCCATATTCTGTCAGTCCTTGGCCTCTGCCCTCTTCCACCATTGCTAATAAAAAATAGAAATTTGGATGGCTACTTCCTAATAGAATTACACTTATATCATCAACGTTGAGTCTTACAACAGTTATCAGATAGATGGTAGCAACTGTTAAACACTACTGATTAGAGGAATTTAGAGAGTATGTAGAGCAATTTACAGAGTAACAACAGTTACAAGTCGCAAGAGGCGTATTTAATACAAAATTATTAACAGGAAATTAAAAGGAAAGGAAGGAAACACAAAGAATTAAAAATGAGCAAACATATTTCTTTTCCTTTTTTAAAGAAATGTTAATGATATATTTAAAATTTAGGTGATGGATACACTATAGATGGTATTTAAATTTAAAGCATGTTAATCTAAAAAAATGCTAAAGGCGTTATTTGAATAGTGTCTCTTGATTATCTAAAGTATATTTTCCTTTTGATAACACTTTTTTTTAATATTTGGGTATTCAAATATTTTGAAATTCTGGTGGTGATTTTATTACTGCTTTAAATTATCATTTTGATAATAAACACAGATATTTGGCTGTATCACTCTACACTAACCTTCATTGTACTGGGTACATTAATACTCTTGCATGCCTTTTGGCTTTTGCTCCTTTTTTGTGTTTAACTTCTGAATTCCTCCTTTTAGGGTTATATCAGTGTAAGTGAAATTAGTGAGCTGTATGGCAATTCCACGAATATACCCCCTTCCACTCAGCCCCCCACAGATGCTGACGCTGTTGCTACCGAGCCTTCCACGGCTGTGCTGGTGAGCCAGCCACAAAATAAAGAGGTTTGTTTGAGAGACGTTTCCCTTTCTTTACATCATTCTGTTCACGGCTGCTTTTTTTGTCCCATCATCTAGTAAATATAACCCTGATACAGACTGTGAGCAATGTAGAGTCAGGTATTGATTGGGTAAGAAACCCAAATGAATTCTCCAGCTATAAAATGTCTTTGTTCTTAAAGATGGTGGTTTAGAGGCCAATAAGAATAATGAGCCAATCAGAAACAAGTTTGTTCATTGTCTTTCAAATGCTAAAAGGTAGCATGTTTTTTGAAAAGTAGTCTGTAGTTATGTTTTTAATGTCCATATGTACAGTGGAGGGTAAAGTGTTCACTGAACAGTTTATTGTAGTTCATTTAGAGATGTTATGCAAGGAACATACTGACCTTGGGTTTTGTAGGGATTGTGGGCAGCAGGGGGAGGGGGCATGGGAGGGGAGAGGAGATGAATACCTCTTACTTGTGTTTGTTATTCCAATATGTTCTTTCTGGCTTTTTTTATACTATCTTTGACTTTTTGCTTTATTATAGCTATCTTTATTTTTTCCAAATAAGCCCAGTTGCTTAAAAATGGATTAACTTTATGAATGGAAAATATTTACTTTTGTGCTACTATCATTTACCATTTAACTTTAGACTTTGTTGTTTTGGACACTGTTTTAAATATTTAAAAATGTATTTCACCAGTTTCTACTAACAAGTCTCCATCTGTGCTAAACTCTCCAAATAAAAGCATATTATAAACTGCAGCTTGTATGTGCCATGCCTCTTGAGTAATTACAAGTAGAAAACTTTGTGTGTAATTTCTCTTTTTCCTATAAAGCTAAGATCACCTCTCTGTTCTGGATTTGTGTTTCCTCACTCTCTTTCTCCTCGCTCTATTGCTCAACTTCCATCAGTCCATTGGCCTGAGGTCATGGTTACACATGTAGATCCTTTACCTTTATCTGATACACCTCCTCCTCTCCCAGCTAAGAAACACCGCAGGCAACCACAGGTAACTTCAAAGCTGACCATCTGGGATTTTTAATATGGGTAACAAAGATGCCATTTACCCATGAACTTTTCAGTACAACATTAGTAAGAACCCTTTCTTCATCAAACTTTCAGAGTCCTGCACCTAAAGGTTTTGCTGAATTTCATATGGATTATTACTAGATGCCGTTGAATAAAAATAGTTTTCACAACAAAGAATCTAGATCTCAAAATAGACATGGGCTCTGTTTTTTGCCATTCAAATAAATGAATAACACAATGGGAAATGCCATTTCAGTGGTCAGAAGCATTTGCAATAATGAATTATTTAAATTTAAAATCAAAATTATATTGAGGGGATTTTATCATCTTTTGAAGTATAACCATTCCAAAAATACATCAGTTTTAAATGGCCAGTTCTTTGGAATTTATTGGGGTTTGGCCTAATAAGATTCAATTTGTAAAAGTAGATGCAAGTCATAACATGTTTCTACATTTATACATATGTTATTTACTGATTAAAAATGTTCTTAAAATTACGGACAATTAGTTTATTTATAACATGATTCACTTGCTAGTAGGTGACTGCTTTACAGTCTGTTCAGAAAACCATTTTGATTCCGTAGGCGTGATTTCTTTTTTTCAGAACAGTGTTTAAGGTGAATCTCTAAATTGCTTACCTTTATGGAAACAAACTTTAAGGGTTAGGGTGATGAGGAACTGAAACTGTTACTTTAAAAATAATCCCCTTGTCCTCAATTTGGGCCCCAGCCTCTAAAAAGTTATATCTTAGAATATTGGGCTGTTGGGTTTTTTTGTCTTTACCTTACCTTATCTTGGCCATTTAACTTCCATATTGGTAGAATTCATTCGTAATAATTGCTTAATTGAGAAATCTGTAGGCTGCACATGAATTATTAGCATTACAGAATTAATAATATTAATGTAAACCAAGACTGGTTGATAGTTTGACTTTGGGAATGACTGATTCTTGGTTTACCATTCACTGTATAATTTCTATGAAAAGTGTGTATTGTGAAATCCCATATTGCATCAACCTGAACAAGAATATAAAACTGAATATTTAGATTTACAATGAAGTTTCCAAACTGTAGGATTCAGCATGTTCCACATGAAACATAATTCACTAAAAAGTTGGACATTTTTTCAAAACTATTTTACAAATTACATTTTAAGCACTTTAGAAATCTGGAAGAAAGAAAGAAACAGCACAAGGAAGGCATGTATATGAGTGATACTTTACCTCGCAAGAAAACTACTCCCTCTGTATCGCCGCACTTCAATAGTTCTACTCTTGGACGAAGTGTAAATCCCAAAGTAAGTAATGTACTGAGATATAGATTTTCCCATTTCTAATTTCCATGTAAGAAATATTTTGAGTTGGAAATAAAATTGATCAACATAAGGGCAAAGACATTATAAATTTGTTGTAATATTCCTGAAGTTAAAAATAGTAAACCTAGGAAATGAATTAAGCCTGTTAAGATTAAAAAAAAATGAACTTTGATTAGATTAAACTGATTTCAGAGGCCTGTTAATTGTATCATTTTTGGTTTCCTCAGGATATTATTGGAGGGGGAAGATAAGGTTATGTCAACTGAAAATGATATCTAAACTGTAGCAGTGTCAGTTAACAAAGCAAGAGGGGCTTTCACATAATCTTTAGTGGGGAAATTGTTTTGAAAGCTTCTCAGTAAGTAGAGGATGTATATAATTAAAATAACTCAAGCTGATTCAGATGAGTTCATGCCAAAAAAGTGTTTTTGTTTTTCAGGAAATTTCTGACATAAGTGCAAAAGTATGCAGTTTTTAACTATGTGTTTACAAAATTTCATGCAGGGTCATTTACCTCTAGGACAGAGCAACAGCTGTGGCAGTGTACTTCCTCACTGTCTGGCAACCATGACCAAAGAGTCAGAACCAAGAAGAATGCATAAAGGTAAGGTCTTTTTAAAACATTGCTATTCCTGGATATGCAATGTTCAATCTCATGACTAGTAACTCCAAAAGTAGTAGGGCTTTAAAATAGTATATTTTTCTCCTAATGAAAATAGGAACTTTCATATACAATTTACAGTCTCCAGCAAAGATGATGAAGATATGATATTAGTAGTATTAAAGGAGCACAAATATCTATTTATAAATTTCTTACTTTAATTTAAAAGCATATAATTATTGTAAATACAGTGCTAAAAAGGTATGCTGAATATGATGTGTTGGGTAAACTGGACAACTTAGTCCATTTAATTTTGTCTTAACAGGGGGTAGGCTATCTGTTGCTTTTTATGTTTTTATTTTGTAGAGAATCATTCTCTGTAATTTTTTGATCATATAAATTGTTCTCTATAGGTAAATGCTTTTGCCTAGGTAGAGTAACTTGCTAGATTAATGACTTTGATTCACAGCTGAATTATTATGATAGGGTACAACTTTCTTAGTCTATTGTAAATGTGTGGTCAAGATAACAAAAGAGGTTGGTTGTTAAAGATGAACAGTTGCATCTCTGGCCCCCTCTACACCTTATATCTATTGCGCAATCACCTTGTTAATTGCACAATAAATTTAGACTGGCTACATATGCAGATTCTCTCCCCTGCCTTAAAAAGGTTTAACCAGCTATAAAGTTATTGTTCAAAAATGTGTAATAACTTTATAGCTGGTTTCTATCCAGCTTTAATTTGCATGTGTAGGCAGTCTGCAGGGAGATGGCAGCTACTGCGATCTTTCAGGCACTGGGAAGCACAACTCACCCTGTAACAGGTCGCCCTCCCCAGCGCCATCTTTCCTGTTATCCAAGCCCTATGTGGGGCGCCCTTGGAGTCCACTTTAAGGTTTCTCATGTCATACTCTCTACTCGTCTGCCACGTCTTGATGGAAATTTTATACCGATTGTTTTTTGTAAGCAGGAGACTGCCTATTGTTTTTATATGTTGGGGTCCTCCACCACCACTGGCCTTGACCCCAGTCTTTCTCCACCTAGGCCTTCCCATCTAAACCTACCAGATAGGGTTTGACTCCGAGACTTTAGCTCTCTAGTCTTGAGGCTCGTGGCCCTCCTTTTTGCTCCAGTCTGGAGCACAGCCTACCTGGCCCAGAGGTCCATCCATCGGCCCCACAGCCAGGAGGTCGTAAGTGTGAAGCTGGGCAACGGCCCCGGACCTCCACCATCCCAGTCCAAAAAAAACGTACATAGTCACACCCCCAGTGTACCAGGCCACCCTGGCCTTTTAGGCTTGTCCTCTCTGGTGCCGGACCTGTGCCTCCAAATACTGCGCCTCTCTGTCACTGGGCCTGTGCACCCCAAACACTGCCCCATGCTATAGTGGGGCTCCCATGAGGCCGCCTCCTTCCCCAATAGCCTCACCCAAACCACCGGTCTTATTCAGTAACAAAAAAATATGAACAGTCCTGTCCATGGGCAATAACCACCAGCAAACGATATATGATTAAAGAAGGCAGCACGCCAGCTTACATTTACGCAGGGGTTCATGCTTCTGGTCCCCACCATCAGCTACAGTCCTTCTGGGGTTGCTGCCACTTCTCCAGGGTCCTCCATAGTTCCCCTCTTTCAGCCTTTGGAATGCTCACCAAACCCAGGGTTTTTATAGTCCTGGCCTGCCCCCTTCCAGTCACCTGACTGGCTGGCCTGGCTCAGCTTTTACCCCCTTCCCCCCCCCACACACACACACACACCTTACCGGCACACTGTGCCCAGAAAGTTCTGGTTTTAAAGGGGCTGCCCTGCCTTCTAGTAACAGGGCTAGGGTTCCCTGTTACATACCCCCAAGGGTAGGAGATTACAGTCAATGTGGGCACACAGGCTAAGTACAGATAGTCAGAAAGCCCTAGGCTGAATCAATTCTGTCTTTGCAGGTTAATTTAAACTGCAGAGATTAGCTGAGAAACAAGTGAACAGACATTCACTTTTGAGTCAGGAAATGCAGCCGCATGCCTGCAGTGGCTCAGAAGCTGGCGGGGTGGGGGCGCTAGAGCATGCCTTCCAGCCTGCCAGCCACTGCCAAAGGGAAGGGACTGAAGCTCCAAGGCTTTTCCCTCATCCTTGCTCAAGTAGAGGGGGCCCCAGCCTGGGAGCTAGCATGCTTGAGGGTGGGGGTATAAATCCCCTCTCTGACCCACACAGGACCCCAGCAAGGGTGTGCTGTTGCGGGGGGGGGAGGGAGAGGGGCAATGTCTGCCAGGCTTATGCTCCACCCCCTGCTTCCTGCTGGGGGGGAGGGAGGAGGGGATGAGGAGGGGGAAAAGATAGTGACATTGAATTCATAAAAGCTTGAACAAGAATAGCCCTTTCTCTGAAGCGAGGATGTAGTGAACACAGCAATTGACAACCTCAAGCACACAACAAAGAACAACCAACAATCTTCACCTAAGCTAAGATGCAGCCCAGTAAAACACAGTGAGAGCACACACAACTTAGTCTAACTTAAAATAGAGTGTAATAAACCAAGAAAACCAGAGAAAGCCTTACATAAGTCTTATGTAATCTTGAGGGCAGAATGTCTGCTTACAGTCAGGTATTCAGAAAGTCCTTCTTGGGGAACCAGCAGGTGGTCTTAGGTATTGGAGTGGAGATCCCACAGGCCTCAGGTCTACTTGGGTTTTTACAGACACACTTGCACCCGCTTCTCCCCCTTGGGTGCCTTGACATTAGATGCTTGTTACCTATAGCACCTTTGGCAGGACTCCTGTGCATTCAGCGTCTGTTGTCTCTGCTTAGGTATTCCAGTCTCCCACCTTTTACAGGTTCTGCTTTATAATGTAAATGTAGTGCTCTGCTTTCTTTGCTTACACCAGCTCAAGCAGTCTGGGACCCTTTCCTGTTCCCTTAGCTCCATCTCTAGCACATACATGTGATGATTGTGCCAGGTCTTTGCCAACACCTCCCACCTCTCAGTCTAGTCCAGCAGGGCTTGGCCCTGTACTCATGGGTGGTAGGGCACCAATCCCTCCAGCCCCAGTTTCCCAGGGTCTTCCCTCTCCCCCATGGCCTGGGGAGCTGAGGGGTATTACGCCCCCTCCCCTTGTCAACTGCTTGCCTCAGTCTCTACCTGAGCCTGCCTGCCCACACCCCCCACCCCGCCGCTCCAACAGGGAAATATCTGGCAGGGGCTGCAACCCCACCACAGGCAGACCCAGTTGTGGATCCCTGCCAGGTTTCCCACTCTGGCTGAGCCCCTTGTCAGCCAGGCCTCACTGCTCCAGCTAGAGAGCAGAGGGGTGGGGCCAACCCTGCTCTCTGGAGCAGGCAGCAGAGCTGCAAAGCATTCTGGGATGCTGTGGGACTGTGAGTTAACTTGGACCAGGAAGGGGTCTAGGACAGAAGTTTCATAAACCGGTTTGACATAAATCAGTTAATACTACTGATACTACATTCAACAAGGTTTATCTTAAACCAATTTCAGCCATTTCAAAACTGGTTTATGCACACTGAACTTCTGTTCTGTTACAGGTTTAAACCAGTTTCTGATCACTTTAAACTGGTTTTTGTGTAATTTCTGTCTCTAGCCCCAAAGGTGTGCTGGAATGCTTCATGCACCCCTGTGGCCAGCAGATTGCAGCAGCACCCCATGGTGCAGCAGTGCCCTGTCAGGTGCGGGGTTCTCGATGCTGGCTGCCCATGTGGCACAGCCAGGTCTGAGAGCCCTGTCAGGTGCAGGACTCCATCCTGGCTGTGTGTAGCCCCACAGCTCAGAGCCCCCTCAATAAAGGGGAGCTGAGAGTCAGTTTCCTTTGCTTCTGGCATGTGCATGATTGCCAAAAATATTCAGCAGTAGGAAGGTTGTTCACAGGTGTAGTATTTTTCATTTGTGCATGAATGACCTGCAGTGGAATCGACTTCACCTTCCCTTATTTATTTTGCTTATTCAGAACTGATAGATTTTAAAAGTAGCAAGAGTATAGGCAGAAAAATTTAAGAGATGGCTAAATACGTATGGAGCATATTTCCTGTGAAAGAAAGCAGCATTTTTCAGTTACCTTACAAAGTTGAACCAGACTTGGTGGATATGTCCCTTTTATAGCTTTAGTTTCTTGGGAGTCTTGCAGAAACCTGCTGTACTTGAGTAACTTTCATTCTAAATTATTTCACCTGCAGCCAGACAAACTGACTTAATTATGAGCTTGGAAAACTTTGGTGAATTTAGCAAACGGTGTAGCTTAGAAAATTTGCCCATGTGTACACTTTTCCTCTCTGGTCTACAATAGTCTGCTTGTGTTGGCTAGAAAATATATACAAGATGTATGTTGAACAGTTTTTTGTTTTGTTTTTCAAAAGTAGAAATTGCAAATCGTGAAAGCTGGAATGTTTTTACAAGTGTAGTTTAGTTGAGGATGGGATTTAATGAAGGTAATTGATAACATCTGTGAATTGTTAAGAACCTACGAATTGACAACATTGGCCCTCAGGGAAGGATAGATCCGCTAATTCTGAAAGAATTTGCCCAACCTTGATATTGCAAGCTCTAACACAGTTCTCTTTTGTTGGCTTTCAACCAAGGTGTGCTACATGAACAATTGCTTTCATATATGTATAAAGAAAAAGCGATGAGTGTGGGCAGGAGAACTGCTGAAATTAATCATCTTAGTAATATTGTAGCCAAGAAAGAATAAAAGAATAACTTAAGATTGAATAAGAGAGAGAGAGAATACAGAAAGAGGTATATTTGTCATAGTGTAAGGCATTTGTTACATGCTCTATGCAATAATGAGGGCTTTAACTGCCGTCACCACAGGGTTATGATTATTTCCATCGAAAAGGCAGTAAAGAGGATAGCAAAGAGAAGACATTAAAGGCACTTTTATACATGCTTCAAGGGTGTGGGGGTGGCACTTTAATTAGAGCAGTTCCAAGAGCCACCCTAATTAAAATGCCGTATTGTATCATGTATCGGTGTCCCCACACTTAAAAATTGCAGTGGGGCA